GTCCGTACGTCGCTCACCGAACGTGTATAATGTTCCGCGACGATGTACAAGTATTCAGATTGCGCGCTAAGGAAGAGAATTTATATTTATTAAAGAAAAAAAAAAAAAGAAACACGTGAGAGATTTTTCCCGGAAGTGGACGGGTGTTTCAAGCATATTCATCGGTTCTTTGACTACACGAAGCATCGCGTTAAATCTTGGTATATAGTCTTAGTTAAGAAAAGAATAAAAGAGAGAAAGAGAGATATTAGGGAGAGAGCAGGAGAAACGGGTGAGAGAAGGACGAGAATGGTGGGGAGGGAAGGGTTGACGAAGCAAAGATGAAGAAGAACCGACCTGAATTATCTGTGTATGTAAGGTGGTGAGAGAGCGAAGCAATTTCTGACTCTGATTCGCGACACTTCTGTGGCGTAAATAAAGAAGTATATTATTCATCTGAAATGCACAACATCATAGAGAGCCGAAAAAATTTGATAGAAATCATGTCAGTCTAATTATATTTCTTGTTATATTATATACATATATATTATATATATTATATCATATTTTCCAAAAACGAATTATATATAATTCAATAAAAAAAAAACCACTCTCGTTTGATAATTTGCCCGGTTTTATTGATTCTTGTCTTACAAGATACACCGTTTCTTCTTCCACTTATATATCAGAAAAATCACCTATACAACAGAGCAGTAGTAAAGTTTATCCTCAACAATGATAGATAGTTGACGGATCAAAAGTTTAATTTTATTTTTGATTAGTGTGTTTTGACTCTCAGTTACCTATTACACAAGTTTACAAATTCCGGTCAACTTTTGGACCCGAGCAGGTAAGAACGATTCTTAATGTTATTTGATGCGCTGAATCCGAATTTTCAGTCCGCCGTTTGTCAAGATTGATTCTAGTTTTCGAGTTCTCGCATGTTGGCAGCATTGCGCTGTCACAACGACTCTCATGTGGGCGTCGCTAGAAAAATCATTTCAATTGTATTCGAATGGTGTTGCTTTTGTTTAAGAACGTGTAAAAATGCAGAGAGATGCAAAGTCGATTCAAAGTGTTTTTGTTACGTTTGCGGATGTTATATGCTCGGGAAAAGCGGCGAAATAATGACAAATGCGCTCAGAGATGCGTATTTGCATTACTTTGGTTTCTCTGTAGCAAACACTAACAAGCCGTGGGTGCCGAAATGTTTCTGTAACGCGTGCAGAACAAAGCTGTACAAGCGGTCGCTCGGTGAAAATGTGTACTTTTCATTTTCATTGCCAATGCTATGGAGAGAACCAAAAAATCATGTAGATGATTGCTACTTTTGCTTGACGAATGTCGTCGGTATAAAGGCAACAAAAAACTAGCACAGTATAAATATCCTGTGACGTATCATCAGTGTCCAAGCCAGTTCCACGTACGAGCAATGATCCATTGCCAGTTTGTCCAGGTATAAGTGCAAATGCCCGGGCAACTTCGACTTCATCGCCGTCGAGCGAGTGGAAGCGATTTTGTCATGGAAGAAAAGCATTTAATTTCGCAAAGTGAACTCAGTGATTTGATTCGTGATTTGAATTTATCGAAACAAAAAGCAGAGTTGCTTGCATCACGGTTGCAGGAGTGGAAATATCTTGACACTCGAACAAAAGTCACTGTATATAGAAACAGAAATCAGGCGCTTCTACCGTTTATCAAATAATCCGCAATTTGTTGCAAAATTACCGCAAGATTGGAGCTCGAATGTCTCTCAAAATTCAGTTTCCTGCATTCACATCTCGATTTTTCCCCTGGGAACTTAGGCGATACGAGCGACGAGCAAGGAGAGAGCGGCTACACCAAGATATGGCGAGAATCGAAAGACGACACCAAGGATTTTGGGATGATGGCATGATGAGCGACTACTGTTGGACTCTAATGCGTGAAACGGATCCCAAACAACATACAAACGACTCAGTTTTACTGCTCTTCATTTCTGATTTATATAACTTTTAATTGAATAAAATAGCCATTAATTGTCAAAAATATTGTCAATAATAAAAAATGAATTTATTGAATATCTCGAAAACTAGAACCAATCTTAAAAAACGAATTGAAGATTCGGATTCAGCGCTCCAAATTACCTTAGAAACAGCTTTTGGTTGCTCAGGTCCAAAACCGTGTATACTTGTGTTATTGAAGAGAAAAATCTCCTTTTGGCTTTGATTGCTTATAGCGGACAAATAAATTGACGCACATTGTTTGCTAAACAATTGATAAAGAGCCCAAAATTTTCACATCAATTTCCAATGTGAAGATAACAAAAGATTGAAAATTAAATATTTGTCATTCCTCATTGAACTAATCTTATATCTTATTAATGAACATTATTGACGTTATGAATTTAAAATTACTAAGAAGTAAAGAGTTCAAGCTTTAAAATGTTTTTTTTTCAAATCATTCCTCCGCCATCGTGATTTTTACCTGAGTTTACAGCCTTGTTTGAAATTTGCCAATGTTTCAAAATATAAAGAAACGTACTGTGTGACTGTGGGGTTGCACTGCGATCTCAATCTTTTTTTTTTTCTTTTTACTGAATAAAAATATGCAAAAGGTGTTGCAACTTAACCTATTTTATCTATATTGGATAAAACATCGCTCGCTTTGTTTCCTTAAAACTAAATTACTTTTCCTTATTCACTACATGTCGTCGGGACCACGATTTCAATTTCTTGGTAAGTATAGTGGCGGCTCGTAGGCGGAGACTCTGAAACTAAGAGTTGTCACACGTGTCTACGACGAGATACCGTAAAGACTATTGGTCTTACGGGATTTTAGCATACCAGAGAAATCTCGCTGTGCACTAGCGCCCTCTGAGGAATATCGTGACCGGAATATGAAACATAGCGAATCGAAATAAGCATGGATGGTAACAGAGTATGGAGTAATGGGCAAAAGATATCGGAAGATATCTCAAAAGACTATTATTAACCCTTTGAGGCACAGTGATAAGTATATTTACCATCTATTTATTCTCACAATCCTCTGAAATATTTCATATTTGAGGGTTTTTTGCGTTTTTTCTGCTTCTTATACGGGATATGGGAACACACATGAAAGTTTGAAAAGTGTTTTGCACAGGTTGTCCATCCTATTGTAAATAAACAAAGTGTGAAAAATACACATTTTTACAGAGAAAAATCATTTTCCACGAACTATGAGTGAATTTTTTGCTCGAAATCAAGATCTGCGGGTTTTTCTGGGTTTTTCTGGGTCGCTGATTACAAATCTGAGGTCCAAATTCCAAAATTAATTTTCCAAGATCATAGAATTCATAGAATTTTTTTTATTAAATTATCTAAAATTGTACTCTGGTTAGTTTTTGAGCTCGCTGATCGAGCGAATCCGAGGTAGAAAACTCATTGTCACCGAAATTATCGCGATTTTCCATTTTTGCGTCCGCATTTTAGATCCGCCATCTTGAATTTCGAAAATCTGACAACGGATTCGACCCCAGAAACCCTCGTATATATAAATGTTCATGTGATTCGGATCATCTGTGGAACTGTATACGTGCCTCAAAGGGTTAATACAGAAAACAGGCCGAATGCCAGTGTGTATGCATGTATGTCTCCTAGGATCGCGAGACGTGAGAAAATTTAGAATAATTTTTATTTTAAACACACGTATACACACGTTGGCGTTCCTTAAGTTAATAACTCGAAGTTGAAACAATGATACTGAAATTGCGACCGACAACACATGTGTACAGAATATGTTTCGCGAATTCCTCGCTCGCGAGGAATTCATGGAGACATAGAACGGATAATTGAGATAAATATAAAATTCCTATACTATTTTGCGACATTCGCAATAACGAATCGAGTTATTATATAATTATAGAAATGTAACGAAAGAACACGGCCCATGCAAAAGGCAACGCGGCGGCGGCGATGTCGATTATAAATGTATCGTCACGTTAAGTGTATCTAGACCTTTTCGTACTTGATCTTAGCTTAAGCAGCCGAAAAATGGCAGAACGGTATGAGACTTTTATGTTTGACTTAACTCGCTCTGTCTTCGCGAGCTCTGCAACAATTGTCACGCGAGACACCCTGCGTATAAGGTGTTGCAAAACAATTTTTTACAGAGCTCGTGGAGATATAAACTGGATTAAAATCAATATATAAAGTCACGTAGCGTTTTTCGATATTTGTAACAGTTTATTAATTACATAAATCTGACGAGTGAGCGCGCGCCGAGATGGGGGGATGGAGAAGCTTCGCAGCCGCTCGGGCCACAACGCGGCTTCGATCCAGCAACTAACGATGGTGATTTGCGGTTTGGGTTTGGGTAGGTGCGACGAGGTAAAGCACGAAGTAGTGGCCGCTTGTCTTTCCTCTCGCCTCTCGCCTCTCGCCTCTCGCCTGCTCGCCGCGCACCGGCGACAGTTGCTAGCTGTATTATCTTGAGCTGTATTAGCTATAGCAGTCGCTATTCATCATCGCTCTTCGATTACCTCCGGGGTCCCTTGGGGCCCCCCCTCCCCCCTTGGTCAATATGAAAAATTACCCAGGATTGACAATACTTATATATCACCTCGTTGATGCTACAAATCCCAACTTGCTACTCTTCACTCTTCCCCCGCCCTACGTGTCCCTACGCATTCTTTCCCTCTTTCTTTCTGCTTAAGAGATGAAAAATAAATACTAAAAAGCACAGAAACAAGGCAAAAGCAAGGTAAGAGTCGAATAACAGATATTATAAGATATAAATCCAGCGGAAAGAGTAGAAATCAAATATCTTGTTGTTTTGGGATTACATCATTGGGAAGCAATCTTGCAAAGCAAACTTTTCTGCAGTAAACGTATCTAAATAGTAGAGTTATCTTAAGAGTTATAAAATATTTCTTCAGTCTTATTATTTTTACTTATTATTTTTGTCCCAAAATTGTATTGTTGAAATTTACCTCGGACTTTACACGGGCGAGACACTTGGGATAACTGGAGAAGGCAAATATGAAGAGAAAAGAAACATAATTTTTATATGGTTATCAGATTTATTAAGTTTCTGTTATTTACACGAATTCGTTGTAAATCCTTTTGACAAGGGTCCAGAGGAACATTGCGGGAACATTGGGAGCATCGCGTTACGTTATGAGGAAAAAAAAAAAAGAAAAGAAATACTATACAGCCACTTTTCGTCCCCAATGATCACTATGAACCAATGCCATGGCGCGGCAAGAGATTAACGCGCGCAATGCGTTCGCCGAGCGATTCCAAACCCTCGACAGAAATTCCGGGGACCTCCGGAGCGTTCGAAGTTATTGCACTTTTCGAGGGATAGCACTAGAACGGGAAGTGGGCGTCGTCAGTTTGCGTTATCGTATCACGGAATAATATAAGAGGAAATAACACCTCGCCCCTGAGTAAACGTAAATGAGTACGTTAAAACGTAAATTCACGTACGTCGTCTCGAGACTGTAACAATACACGCGATGTGAAGAGCCCTAAATTACATGTGCGTGTGTGTATGTGTGTGTGTGTGTGTGTGTGTGTGTGTGTATTTGTATTGCAAAGAAAACATAGTGAAAAAATTAAAAGCTACTAGAAAATAATGACGTAGAAGCGAGACTCTCCGTATCTGGAGACCCATTCTTCCAATTTTTCAATGTGCATGATATATATATAAGCATATATACCTAAAATATAAAACTATATTTAAAAATATACATGTTTATATATATATATATATATATATCTATCCATCTATCAAGGCACATTTATCATATTCATCGTCCGCTTCTACAACGTATACGTGACTCAGTCGCGTGCATCAGTTTCGCGCGTACAGAACAGCCTCCAGACTGATCGGTAAAATGCTCTTGCATCGCGAAAGCATGACGGCGCCCACGAAGCGTCAGCGTCGCGTCTCGCATTCGACGCACCGTCGGGTCCATCCGGAGCAGCTGTCGCATACATTACCGTTTCCCGGAAAAGAACTACACCGCACTTCGCCGCCTGCGCGGCGGCGGTCTTTAGCGTATTAGCGCTTTTATGAGTTACCAAGTTACGTTACGCGCGCGTGTGCGTGTGTGCGTGTGTGTTTGTGTGTTCGCTTCCTCTTGTAAATGTAAATTTTATGATCATGTACCCATCACCACGTCGGACCCACGTTACGCGACTGCGCGTAATTGGCAGTAGAGCTCCTCTTGTCTCCTTTGTCAGTTAAAATCTAAACGCTCCGCGAAACCCGAACGCTGGCGCGATGTCGGTATCCTCCTCGCCGCGTCCTCGACGCCGAGTCCGACGAACTCGAGGAATTTGTGGAATAACCGGGAGAACCGCTCGAAGAACATTTGTTTTTTTTTCCCGCTCGAGCGGGATGACGGGACGCGGTCGCTCGGAACGCGGCTTCTTGCCGGAGGAATTCGGAATACCGACATTGGAGCAGCACCTCGTTTGTAAATTAGACTAATTAACATTAACACGTTTAAGCGTCGCGACTGATTACTGAAATCTGATTGTACGCTTCGGACGTGAGCGGCGCGCGCTCGCGTATCTTCACACTCACTCTCTCTCGTGTGTGCATTGCAGACATTGTTCGTAGACATTGCCGCAATGATTTGTAAGAGCGGAGGGAGGGGCCTTTAGAGTTCTCGCCCTCATTCATTCTCTACCTCGCTCAGCTTCAGCTGCGACATAAGATTGAGTGTATGAGCATCTCTACAACGGCAATGGTCCGCTCGCACACACATACACGTACACATACACATACACATACTTCGCCGGAAGCACACCCAACAATGCGCACTCACAGATTTGCTCCTTTACGAAAAACTTTTCCTACAACATTTCGCACTAGTTCTCTTTCCTCCTCTTTCTTCCATCGAGTTTCAAGCTGCGCGTATCTTCTTTCTTCTTATTTTCTGAAAGTGTTAACATTTAATCCTCGGAAAAGAACAGACCTCATGTTGAAACTTGGCTACGTTCTCTTATCTAACGATTGTTATCTTTAATCTCTTGAGATTTATATCGTACATGAGTTTCCGACCGCGCTCAGAGAATCACCGTAGCCGGGGAACATTCAGCTTCATCACCGAAGCGAATTCCATCTGTCTGTGCATTCAAAGAGTCAAATCAACGTTGCACCAACTCCGCAACGTGATCGGGATTTCCCGATCAGACGGCGCGAAAATCAACCGCCGTGAGTATCAAGTTGTACGCTCGTAGCGACAGTTTGGAGTATTTGCAGCGGCATTTGAGAAGAATGCGAGTCGGAGGTTGCTCGCGACGAAGAGAATGTCGGTCGCACGAATGCCAGAAACGTAGGCGATTACGCGCGGAGATGCCGCGAGAACAGAGAAGAGTGATACGCCGCGATGTATCACTGGAGTATTTGATTGAATCTGGGAATTGGCGTGGAGTGTCGACTGCAACTTAAATCGCTAGGGTGAGAGTTTGCGCGTGTAATTGAATTAAATTATTGAGACGACCGCAACTGGACGGTATTTTCGTGTGTGTGTGTGTTTTCATGTTGTTTATGTATGCGTTTGTGTATGTTAGGTAGGACAGCGTATACCAGACTAGTGTACAATATAGTAACAGTACGTAGGTAGGTATGTGTATATATTAGAATGACGCAACTCGACAGAGTCTGAGCCGTGTCGATTCGTGTTAGACGTGCGCGATCGGAATTAACGGTAAAAAGTTTCGCTAAAGAGTGTACACACAGGCTCATCACAGGCGCTGTGAACGAAGCGCCGGCGAACGATCATTACCCCGAGAGCACGACTTTTCGTTTTTCAGCACGACAGTTCAAGTGGAAGCGAAGCTAGCGGATTATTCTCACAAGAGAGAGAGAAAAAAAAAAGAACAGACGAAACGACAAAAGAAAACGAGAAATTTACAACCCCGTTCCGGACAGATTTCAATCGGTGTGTGCCGAACAAGCACCGATTATTCCAGAAATATAATTTCCTCTTGCAAAAATACTTTTTTCCGATAAAAATGCTCTATATCCTTATCCTCTTCCTCATATCAAACGATCTGTCTTATCCGACCGAGTATCGCACAGACCAAGTATACCAACTGAAAAATATAGATCCGTTAGAATTCGCTTCACAGATCATCGAGACTGTCATGAAGAAAGTTTCATGCTCCGAACGCACGAGTGAAATCTTCTCGTTTGAAAGAAACGACACGTGAGGAGGATCGTGCGATGAAGGAGACGAAGAGAATAGGAAAGCTCAGTATCGAGGAAGCAACCAGTACCGGTTGTTCGGATACCTCGAAGCGTACCGCCATTGCTCCAGCCAAAGACACGTCACGTGTCGCGTGAAACAACAAACTAAAATAGAAGAGAAGGAAGAGGAGGAGGAAGAAGAAGAAGAAGAAGAAGAAGAAGAAGAAGAGGAAGACAAAGATAGAACAGGCAGTAGCATCGGCAGTTGAGCAAGAGATTCGCGTTTCGTTGACTGGGCATCACGCCCAGTTGCATCTCGACTCGACAACGCGATCGAGAGCAACCGTATCAGCCTGATATTAATCATCATCGCCGATCGAGTTTGTCGCCTCGCGACCCGTCGAGATACCGCGCGCGGCAACAAAACCGCGCGGAGCGCGCACCTTCGCAGGAAAAGTCTGCGAAGAGCCGCGCGTCCGCTATCTCGATCTCGCGTAGACTTCGCACCGCGGACGAGCGGACTTAACTACTGTGGCTGTAGGCGGTGTTCGTGTAGGGTCCACTGTAGATGGACGATCCTGTCGTGGAGACGCTCTTGTGTCGCCTCTTGGCGAGCAGTACCAGGATGGCGGCCACCACCGCGAGCATCAGTATCAGACCGGCGATGGCGATCCCGATGGCGAAACTTCTTTGCGATATGCAAATAGTGTTTGGATCGTCGATCGCCTGAACAATAAACGAGAAACGAACAATTAAAAAAGTTACAGACCAATTATGAATACGGAGAATTTATGACACATGTAGTGGTACTTTTGGAGTGTGGCTTAAAAAAATATATATCTACATATGGCGGTGGCTGCTCGCCTCGTGTGACCTCGTAGACATTATTACATATATTATCGTGAAAATATCGGAAGCGCTCCCGCTCCGGCTTTCTCACCCTTTCTTTAAAGACGTCCTCGGAGAAGTCTGACTTTGACCCAACGTCCGAAGCTTCGTTCACGTACAGACCGCTGTAGACCTCGATCGTGGCCGGGGTACCATCCAAGCCTTCGACACCCTTCACCTCGTCGTCATCGGCAGCGTCCCTGCGTCGTCTGACTATCGAGTTGCACAACGGCGGCTGTAAATCGGGAATAGCAATGAAGCTCTCGGTAAGTCCTCGGAGAAGCGGCCGTCGGAGAGTATTCCTTTTCAGGGTCAGATGTTACGTAATACCGCGCGCGCGCCTTCTCATGTAACGTATTATTAAAGTAAGACCGATGGGAATTACAAGCGCCTCGACACGATATTTCGGACGTTAGATTGCTATCGTCGAGTCGTTAGAGGAGGATGAATAACAATGTTATTAATACTTCCCCGCGGAGCAATTATTTCCCCTCTCCTCCCTTCCCTGCGCCCTCTTTCTTCGTGTATGTGTATATACACACACACACACACACACACACACACACGTATTGTATATATAAAACGTGAGTCATATCATAATGATGATGGTACCGTATTACTGCATCCTCTGCCATGCTTGATGCACAGCCTAACGTTGCACTGGTAATACACGCTCGCCGTGGACGGGAACTTGTGCGCCTGGAAGTTCACCCTGGCCTCTGTCTTGTCGTCGCTGTACGTAAACTGTCCCATGATCTCGCTGTCGATCGGGCAGCTGAAACCGAACGACGGGCGGATCGATCGACTTCTTCGACAATTCGAGAAAAGGAGAGATCAGTGAAAAACGCACGCGCGCGCGGAATCGCTCGTTTCTTCAGGTCATAAAATCCATCTCCCTCCTTGTATCTCTCCGCTCGTTCATTATCCAGCCTTTTATCGTGATAAGCGCTTGATGATCGCTCACCCTATCAACTCACCCTTCCTCATTGATGAGCCACTGCTCGCTCGAGCCGAGACCGTCGCGCACCAAACAGTCGGATATCCTCAGGCCGAACATTTCTTGCTTGTCAATGCTGATGACCAAGGTCAGAGGATCGCCGATCTTTACGTTCTCCGCCACGTGATGCTGCGTCGGATCGCCGCTGAAGATCTTCATCGTGCACCCCGGCATCGGAGCGGTCGCCTGTGAAGATGGAAGAAGCGCAACGCGTTGGAATACACCTCACTTTTCTTTCTTCTCCTTTCCTTGCCCCTTGCGCAATTTTATTCTGCTTATCGTTATTTCTGATCGTATTTATGATCCGAAAGGGATATTCTGCCGTTTAAGCGGACGAATCAATAAAATTTCAAGTAACACGAATTTCGCGCTGATTCGCTCAAAATGCCGTGGCGACATTTTAGTCGCTGAAACTAAAACGGGGTGCATAAACGGCAGCATACGCGGACGGAAGCCGCGAAGCCGCCGCCGCCGCTGCGGATGTCGCAATCTTTCCGCTTCCACGCCAACTTTTACCGACGTTTTAACGGACCGGGTATATCGCGGAAGAATTGCGACAGAGTTACACGCGACGTTTTTATTACCTGCAACGGCAACGACTGCAGCATGGCTACGTAGGTCTGATCGTTCGATACGATTTTGTCGCGCGTCTGGTATCTGCATCTCACGTGAAAACCTCTGCCCTGGTTCGTGACCAGCTTCAGGTGTGGCTGCACCACTATGGTGTTGAAGTACTCGATACCGCCGTCCTCCTGCGAAACAGAAAGACAATGCGGGGCACCGTGAGCGGACCGATACCACTAAATCCAGCGCGCCTACAATCGCCCCGCGAGCAACAAATCTCGACGAATCGAGAACAGCCACCCTCCCCACCCCCTCCCCCCCATTACCCCCATAAACGCGTTACCGCGTTATCCTCGTTCTATCGTCCTTATCGAGGATTCGCGCAATCGTGCGTCATATAATTGTTACTTTGACGTTCGACTCAAAAGTGCGCAGAAATATACTTGATTTGCTTGGAATTCCCGGGTAAAGATTATATTTCTGGCGAATCTATTAGTAACGTTTATCGTGAATATTTCAGTTGATTTTGTCGCAGAGAGAGAGAGAGAAGCGATATTTATTATTGATTGAACGGTGGTACTCTGTGATGATAATTATTGTGAATTTATTCTTTTAGACAATTATTATTAATTATTACTTTAGATATATATTTTCGTTTGAGGTATCGGCGCACGGATCCGGAGCGGACGCGATCGCGTTAACGTGGGTCCAGGTGTAGCGCTATATCCAGGTGAAAGAATCACACCGGCCATTGTTCGGCTACGCATAGCCGACGTGTATCCGTGTTTCGGTGTCGAATGTCGCAATCCTCCTCAGGGAGGTCCGTTTATTATCGTTCAGAGAGATAGATATAGAAATCGCGACCATGTTCCTGCAGATTCTCGCTGCTGCAGCAGCTACAATTGCAGCAATTTCGATTAAGCTGGTAAATCTTCAATCTTCTGATAGAAAAATCGAAAACCTGAGTGGAAGAGTCCTGAGAAAGAAGCCTGAGGAAAGAGACTTTTCTCAACTTTTCAATTCTTTGCATTTTAATATGAGGAGAACATAATTAGCGAAAAAGTAGCACACATCTTCGGCAGGAAATTTAAAAAGTTTTACAAATTTCTCTTTCTCAGTGTTATAAATTATTCATATTCGAGTGTTAGGAAAATGTAATGAGACGCGCAAAAGTAAACGAAAGGAAACTTTGCTGAGGTTCAAATCCACTTTTATTTACATTTTAATACAATATACATGCAGTAAAGCAATAGTATAATATAATAATATATTATTACGCAATATAATATGATATAATATGATATGCAATAAAAATGTGATAGATACAAGTATACATGATAAATTGCACGAATATTAAATTGCAGCATGAAATCACAGCGTCTAATTAATACTTGATTCTGACGCAGCATCCATCTCGATTTTTTTGCATTGGACTTGAGAGAGCTACTGCAACAGTAGCAACAACAGCAGCAGCAGCAGCAGCAGTAGTAGTCTGCCAACGTCGTCGTCGTCGTCGTCGTCGTCGTCGTCGTCGTCGTCGTCGTCGTCGTCGTCTCTGTCCTTGCACTCCGCCAGCAAAAACCGGACCGCTGCTTGCGCGCTGCTTCTTCTTTTCTCTGTCGTGCATCGAATCCGTCTCGCTCATCCGAGACACTCGGAAAGGGAATACCTACGCATCAATTTACATTCCCGTCGTTTCCTCCGTCGTGAATTCACTTGTTCACCGTGTGTATTCTCGTTACGCGACGTGGAAATTTCTTCTCCGAACAATTACGCAATCACTCTCTCTCTCCACTCTCTCTCTCTCTCTCTCTCTCTCTCTCTTCCTTTCCCTCTGATTATTTGACGATCTTTTTCCAGATTTCTGTCCTCGGACGAACGGAGGCTGCTTCATTGCGCGATTCTGCAAGCTTCACGAAGAAACGAATCCGAATATCCGTCTGCGATTTCGGATTTCAGTAGTCGCCTGCCGGCGAACGACGATCATCATTAATACCGACGATAATCGCTAATGAGGGTTGCCCGTAATCAAAGAGAGTTCGCTTGCCATTTCCACGGACAATGAATATAATCATCAGACGGATAATCATCGTACTTGGAGGTACTGATCGCGTCCTCGGCGAGGATCGAAAGGAGGTCTCCGGAGCTCGATCTCATACTCGGCGATCGGTCGCGCCGACGAGATATTCGGTAAGTAATCCGATGAGGCGATAATATTAATTTGCCGCCCGACATTGCCGTGCGGAACACGCCACGCGCGTGCGTAAGCGTGCATAATGCATAATTCGCCGTTATCATGAGAAGGCGCGCACACACACACACACACACACACACGTACACACACACAGACACGCATGGCACGTAAATCGTCGGAGCGATATATTTGCATACAAAATTGTGATACTTATCGCGCAGTACGAAGCTGTACGAAAGCTCGCAGCGGAGATTTATGCCGAATATCGCGATCATCGGCCATGTCGGCGATCTAACACGGCGCATCGGCGAGTTAATGGGCTATATTAAAAGCACCGGAGAAACGGTGCTCGGCCGAGCGGTGCAGCGGCGACGAGCGTAAATTCCGCGTTTTATATCGATACCGAAAGATAGAGTTCCCGCTCGCGCTCGCGGGAAAGAGAGAGAGAGAGAGAGAGAGAGAGAGAGGAGACGGTAATTTGATCTCTCAGGTTTGCTTATTCTCCTCGGCGCTCCTCGCTCTCCCTCTCTCGATGACTTCATTTTTCCGCGCTTACGTTTGCTGCGCGCCTCGGGGCTTTCCCATCGCGAGTGATCGTCGAAGCGCGAGCGAGCGGTCGCGCCGCGCCGCGCCGCGCAATGTTTCATCGCATCCAGCTGGTATACTTGCGTATGCTTGCATGAATGCATGGCGAACGCCATGCCAAACACGTTCTTCTAATTCTCTCAAGCTGAAACAACGTAGCACACGCGACGCTCGTCGCGACGCGGACGCGGACGCGGAATGACGCGGAAGTTGGAATTGAAAGGACGACACGTACTTGAGACATTCGCTATGCGACCGCGACGACGCCAGAACGGAACAGGAGCGCGCGCTTCGACTCGAGAGCGAGCGCGAGCCCGAGCGGGGCCGCTGATGCTGCGAATTCCTAGACGAGCACCGGGTATATCGAGCAGGCAACGACCTTCGACGGAGGAGTCTCCTCTCGTTCGACCTCAGCAAGGATACTCGCAATCTGCGGTGCATCGGCCCCGCGCTGAGAGATCCGCCGGCTTTACGTTTCACACCCACCTAGCAACCGGCGTGGTCTCGGGGATACTCGCGAGACTTTTACGGCACGGGAACGACAGCGGAGGGGGAGGAGGGCGTCCCCCCCCCTTCCCCGCCGCCCCCGCCACCGGTGTCTCCGGTTACAGTCCTGATCACCTTTCCTTACCGTACGTGGCATACCCATGACGACGATGTAGCAGGACACTGTCACGCGATACGAAGAAAGTCCTGCGGGCAAAAGAAGCAACGTCGGGATGCGACGCGCCGATCTTCTGCTCTCTTCCAGCATCCGTCGTGTTCTCTCTCTCTCTCTCTCTCTCTCTCTCTCTCTCTCTCTCTCTCTCTCTTCTTCTGCGTCCGCGGTCTGCCGCTGTTCTCTTTCCCCCCTCCTCCTTCCGCGCTTCAGCTTCGCATTTCTATATCTTTACGCCGGTCTCGGGAACGACTGGTTCCTCCGTTCGAGAGAGGACCGTAAACTCGACTCGATTCTGAGCGACCGCAGATTTTATTCGCGAGGATATCTTTTGCCAGGATACCTGCCAGGTCGCCTTCGGTACTCGCTCGTGTGACATCCCCATGGAAAAGAAGATCTCACGACTCGTGAAATCGGAATAAGGAGAGCGCGGGCGAAAACTCAATGACGATGAACAATATCGTGTCTGTAGATATGCAGGATATTCGGCTGAATGAGACACGATCAATTGGGACAATTGAGGACAATCGACTGAGTAGAAACCTGCCACAGGAATGTTCTTATTCTTGCAATTTCGAAAATTTCCGCCTGCTGTCGCTCGGATGACAGAAAATCAGCAGTCGTTACGCGCAAGACGTGTCTTTTTGGATTTTAATTATTCTTCGTGACTTCCTCAGGATGACTCGCAGCAAACTCGGATTAAGCTAGTCGACGAATAATAATCGGGATAGTCAAGAGCTCAACAATAATCAAATATTAATTTCTATCTTAACAAATCAGATGAGAGGACACTTGACTCTCTCTCTCTCTCTCTCTCTCTCTCTCTCTCTCTCTCTCTCTCTCTCTCTCTCTCTGATGGAAATTTTAAAAAGTCGATTAAACTAATCAGAACTCGGTGTGCAAGACACTAAATTTATTTCTTTTGTTCGCAATAAAATTAGAGATAAAATCTTTCGCAGCCTCCGTAATTGAGGCATCGCAAAATGAGACGTCGTTTTTTGATCCAGCCGCGGGATCAATTACGATCGTACGTCAGAGACAGAGAGAGAGGGGGGGGGGAGAGAAAGAGAGAGAGAGAGAGAGAGAGAGAGAGAGAGAGAGAGAGAGAGAGAGAGAGAGAGAGAGAGAGAGAGAGAGAGGATTCCTTGTCACGGTAACTTCCATCTCGACTCGGCAACCGAATTTATGCATCCGATCGTCGCGTCTGTCCACACCGCGAACGCGAACCGCGATTTTCCCCCGTGTGCCGTTTCAGCGCGCCGGAGAAGGAATTTCCATTTCATTTACATTCACGCTCGCGACCACTCTTCCTGGCTTGTGTATAAAGATATACAAGATCTCGCGGCAGCATCTTCCCGCCGGACCGGAGGAGCGCCGGTATTTTTGACGTTGCATCCCCCCTTCTTCTTGTCTTCCTCTCCCCCTGCTGTACAGTGTACATTCGCGGCTACCATCCCTGCGGAGATGCGATAAATTGCGTTTCCTCGACACGCTCTACACGACGCCCGTTGCGAGGATCGTTACTCCGTGATAGCTCGCGCATTTCTCAAACGTTACGCGAGTGCGCGCGCGTGTGTATTGTCGTAAAATTAGCCGTCGTTTCCTCCCTCCCCCCCCCCGCCCTTGCCGTTTCGCCAATCGCGCTGGTCGTCGACCGATCGGCGACCGTCGCCGATCAATATCGCGCGTGTAAAAATCTGCCTTTTCGTCTCGACGATGAGCGCGTTTGCGCGTTTCGATCGGCCGAATTA